TCCATCCAGTTAACGTGCCATAATTTACTTAACTGTTCCCTATTGTTAGGGCCTTAATGAAAATCTGAATTCATGTAATACAGGGGGAGGCTTGTTTTAATGATTACCATTACCGACATCCTCTGCCTTAACTGCATGCCATTACAGCTCAGCTTTGGTGAGGCACAGATGCTTCTGGAACAATAAATCCTGCTTGAGAGGTAGCACAAGTCCCTCTGATTTAATAGCTAATCTACTCACAGCACATGTTTTCCTTTTAGGCTGGTATTTATGTAGAATATCTGTCTCTTCTGAATATTGTATAATACTAAACAATGCATATTTGGTGTTTTCTTCAGGTCCTTTATCACTGGTGTCAGGGTCTTTCATAAATTAACTGGAATTTGGTGGTAAAGTAGTGTCTGGCTGTCAGTTCTCATTCATCTTTTCTACCTACATTCACTGAGTACCTAGAGCTCCACTCTGTGAGGAGTAAGCAGGTTGCTCCAGATAGAAGTACATTCCATCGCAATGAGCATGAGAGGCACTGTAGAGAGCCTAAGGTTGCTCTTTCTGCTTGTGAAAGAGGGTGATGAGGAGGTGGTTTTCCCTGTCATTGCTTTAACAGCTTCACCCCAATGTCCTTAGTCCTCTGTCACTGGCCTTACCATTCTCCCCAAAGGAGGTGAGACCACTCTTCAGACCTGGGGATGGGAGGCAGTGCAGCAGATGGTAAAGACTCCGGCAATGCAGTGTGAAACAGATCAGATTGTTGAGTACATTAAGCAGCTTACAGTTATGTATAATAACTGGACCTTAATTAAGAGGAAAAAGTTTTGCCATTTTGTAACTCTTGCTTTCCCTTTTCTTCTTCTTCCCTGGAAGAAAAAAAGAAACGTTGTGTTCAATACTAATAAATGATCTCAGTTCACCTGAAGGACCAATGAAAGGTTTTGACAAAATATGAGGGTACGTACACCTTCTCCTAGATGTATTATAAGTGGCCTGGGAACTGTATAGTCAGAGATCTTTTTTCCTGTTTATTCTAGAGAGACAAAATGTTGGGGGCAGAGGTGGTGGTGGTGGAGGGCAGCAGTCTTGTGGCTTGAATTCAGGACCTGCACTATTCCTAAGCTTTTTCACTCAGGACTAGTGCTCTACCACTTGAGCCACCACTTGAGCTCCATCCACTTCAGGTTTTTTAATTGGTTAATTCAAAATAACAGTCTCACAAACTTTCCTGCCCAAGCTGGCTTTGAACCATGACTCTCAGATCTCATCCTCTGAGTAGCTAGGATTACAGGTGTGATCCACTGGTACCCAGCTGAAAGTAATTGTGTGTGTGTGTGTGTGTGTGCTGGTACTGGGCTTGAATTCAAGGCTGTGCACTCTTGCTTAACTTTTTTGCTGAAGGCTGGCACTCTGCCACTTGTGCCATACCTCCAGTTATAGCTTTTTGTTGGCTAATTGGAGATAAGAATCTCAAGGAGTTTTCTGCCTGGGCTACCTTCAAACCTCAATCCTCAGATCTCAGCCTCCTGAGTAGATTTACAGGTGTGAGCCACCAGCAACTGGGGAGGAAATAAATAATTCTTATTTGCCAGATAAAGTATTTACTTTATGGCATCCTGTGTATTAACACCCCTCACCCCCTCTGCCTCCCTTCCCCCCCCCCCCCGCCATTTCCCTTTCAACAGAGAAAGCAAGCTACAGGCTTCTTCCTAGCAGGGCAGGGCAGACAATAGTACCTTCGTTCTCTTTCACTCTTCATATGTTTAGTATCTATTTTTGGCAAAGGATCATAGTTGTGGGATGGTAATATAGTTTGTTTTTAAATGAATTTATTAAACAATATTAATTATATTAGTAAATAACAACCCAGGTGGTACTCAAAAAAAAAAGAGAAAGAGAAGTGAAGTCCATATGTGATTAAGAGAGGTTTGGAAGATACCAGCATAAAAGTAATTAAAGCAACACTAAAGATCACCACACAAGCTGGGCACCAGTGGCTCACGTCTGTAATCCTAGCTAGATATGAGGATCATGGTTCAAAGCCAGCCCGGGCAGAAAAAACCATGAGACTCTTATCTCCAATTAACCACTAGAAAACTGGAAGTGGTGCTGTGGCTCAAGTGGTACAGTGCTCGCCTTGAGCTGAAGAGCGCAGGGATAGGGCCCAAGCCCAGAGTTCAAGCCCCACAACCAACCCCCCCCCCCAAAAAAAAAAGATCACCATACAACACCATTGGCTTGGATTCCACCAAGGCTTTGGGCATGTGAGGTAGGCTTGGACCATAAAGCCCAGACCAAAAGTAGCCCTCATGCTCCAAATGACTAATGTCATTTGAGTATTAATCATTAATCAGCTGTTCTTCAAGGCCTATAGTAAAATGATTTTCTGCCATATCTTTATGCCATTAGAACTTGGTTTAGGGACTAGATATGGTGGTATTTGAGAAGTAGAGACAAGAGGATCATAAATTTGAGGCCAACCAGGGTAAAAGTGACCAACACACTTCCTCAAAAACAAGTTGGGGACTGTAGCCTATGGTCTCTGGAGAATGGAGGAGGAGGAAGATTGCAGCTCAAAGTCAGCCCTGGCAAAGTTAGCTCAGCTCCTAGCTGAAAATTTACTCAGAACAAATTCCCAAGTGGCCTGTATCTGTGAGGGCCCCCTCCTCCAGTTCCCTAAATTCAACCCTCAGCACCCCAGGCAAGGTGAGGGTGGGGGGAAACGACCCCAGTTTGGGGAATATTTGATTCAAGCATGCTTGAAAAGCTGTCCCTCTCATGCCCCCTCACTCCTTTTGTACCCGTCTTTCCTCCACTCCCTCACTGTCTTGAACTGGGAGCTTCAGTACAAGTAGACAGGGACTGTCTACACAGTGAAATACTACTGGTCAGTCTTGAAAAATTGACATATACTGCAACACGGAAGAATCTTGAAAAACCTTGTACCAAGTACAATAAGCCTGTCACAGAAGAACATGATTTCATGTGTAAGAGGCCGCTGGAGCTGTCTGATTCCTAGAGACAAAATACAAGTCCCCCTTGACAGGAGGTTCCAAGGACGGGGGAAGGGGAAATGAGGACTCAATGGATACAGAGTTTCAGTTTGGGAAGATGAAAAGGTTTAAGACAGTTAATGACTGTGGTTTTACCATAGTGCAGATGGACTTGATAGCATTGATCTGTGCCCTTAACAATTGGTAAAATGATTAAAGTTGTTACATATATGTACCACAACCAAAAAAAAAAAAAAAAACTGAAGTAGGAGTGGGGCATGGTGGGTCACACTTGCAATCCTACCTACTTGGGAGGCTGAGATCAGGAAGACCATCGCCATTTGAGGCTAGCCCAGGTAAAAAGTTCACAAGACCTCATCTCCTGTCATCCCAACTATGGTAGAGAAAGTCAATAGAGGATGGCTCACCACCTTGGACAGTCCAGATAAAAGGAGACTGTAAAAAATAACCAGAGCAAAAGGAGTTGGAGGTATGGCTCCAGTAGTAAAGCTCCTTCCTAACAAATGCAAAGTCCTCAGTTCAAAATCCAGTATTGGGGGGGAAAAAAAACTAAAATAACTAAACTGGGAGCTACGTGTAGTGGGGCATGCTTGTAATCTCAGCCTGAGACAAGAGGATCATGAGTTGGAGTTTCATGTAGGCTACCTAGCGAGAGCCTATCTCAAAAAAAAGCGGAGGACGTTAAAGGAGACAATCAGCACATTACTGTGGCTCATCCTGTTCCTCCCACCAGGAGCACCATTGCTCCTGCTACTACTTGCCAGAGCTATCAGTAGAGATGCAGCCTCTTTCCTCCTCCACCTTCCTCCAGGTCCCACTGCTGCTGCCCCCAGGTATCATTTATTGTTTCCTGGAAATAGTGGGCTTCCAGAATCAGCCTGGACAGTGAACTCTCCTCAGGCCCTGCACAGGTAGTACTCGTGATCAAAAAACAAGTGTCTCTGTTTGACCCAGAAGCACCTAATTTTAGTACCCCAACATCCATCTTTCCAGCCCCTACTGCCTTTCCTGGGATAAACACCAGTGGAAATGCCCATCCCCTACCTAGGACCTCTATGAAGCCAGTATTGCCCCCCAGCTCACCCTGGAGCCAGACTATAGAACCCCCTCCAGAAGCTCACTCTTCCTCATTCAGAAGTGAAACTGGACATTACTTCTAACATAGCCACTAGATATGTTCTGTCTGCTTAGAAGATAAGCATGCTCTGGGAAGAGAGAAGCCAAGGGAGGCATCATTCAGGCTTCCTAGAGGAGAAATAACAACCTCATCTTCTCAGGAAAAAATTTTCTTTTCCCTTTCCCTGCCCTCTTTGTTTCTTTTCTTCTTGATGGTACTGGAGTCTAAACTTCTTTTTTAAAAAGTTCTCCCCATTATACTTGGGTCAGCCTGAACCACAATACTCATTTACACCTCCCAGCTGAAGGTACATGTCACCATTTCCAGCTTATTGGTTGAGATGGATTCTTGATAGGGGGATAGGCTGGCCTCAAACTACAACCCTCCCAATCTCCACGAATATCTGAGATTACAGGCATGAACCACTGCATCTGGTCTCTGCTTGGTTCTTTCAAATGAATCTGAGCTGCTTGGGAACTGGAGAATCATTTGGCCTACTCTCCTTGTACATATGTGGTCTGAAAGTCCAGACTGCAGGGAAGACCTTCTTCAGCTGTCAGGCAAGGGTGCTGGGTGGGTTGAAAACACACCTACAAATGATGTTCATATCTGGGCCCTGCCCTTGAAGGCAGGTGAGCAGGTGGATGGAAGCAGGGTGCTTTCCAGGGCTGTCATTATATGAAGAGCCTGTGATCCTCATGAGCAACCCCTTCCCAGAAAGTGCAGAGATGATGCTTCTAGGTACAGGGGTTCCATGAATACAAGAAGGGCCTGTTCCCCTGCTGGCCTCATCTCCTCAGCTTGCAACTCAGAACTCAAGGCTATTCCTTGGCAAGGGTTCCAGGTAACATCTCCCCTTTCTTTCTTTTTGCTTGCAGAATTCCAGAGGCAGGAAAGTGTCCGGTCCCAACACAAAGGCATCCAATTGTACGACACCCCTTATGAGCCCGAAGGCCAAAGCATGGACTCAGACTCGGAGAGCACGATGAGTCCTCGACTGAGAGAGAGCAAGCTGCCCCAGGATGATGACAGGCCCGCTGATGAATATGACCAGCCATGGGAGTGGAACCGGGTCACCATCCCCGCCCTGGCAGGTATGAGCTGTGAACCCTACTCAAGGTTCTGGCTAAATGGGATGTGTATGAGGTGCCAACTGATCAGGGTACATGCCAGGACTGTTTGACAATCCAGTTGGGCTGTCCTTTTTCCTAGTACTGATTGGCCCCTCAAAGATGATGTGTGTGGGTCCCTAAGGGAAGGGAATCTAAGCCAAGGAGAAACTCAAGTCTAACATCAGGGTCCCCAGCCCAGTATCTTTATCTTCAGAGATGTCTCAGATGCTTAGAAACTCCAAGAACCATCTGCAGAGCTGCTGATGGGGCCCCCATGGTCCCATCCAGTTATATGTGGCTTACAGAATTGCTATGTGTTTCACTCAGCTGTGGTCTGGGCCCACTCAGTGCTCAGGTGTGGGGTATATCCCAGTTAAGCCAACCTCCTCTCTCCTCCAAGACTGCTCTTCCAGAGTCCAGGTATCCATCACAGTACTCAACTCCCATGGCCCTTTCAGAACATGTGGTCTGGCCATATGTAAGCCATAAATCCTTACTTAACTCATACTATTTGATTCTAATTCTCTTCCTGAGAATCAACGCCAAAGTTAATGTTCTAAAATTCAGAAAAAGTATCTTTTTATAGTCATGCAAAATTGGAAACTGAGTGTCCCAGGATTGTTTCAGTGAGTGTTTGTGCGATTGATATGGTAGAATATCATGCTGCCACTCATAAGTGATGTTTAGAGCTTATAATAATGTAAGAAATGCTTGTGTTTAATATTAAGAAGTGGAAAGCCAAATGCCAAAAGAAAGACCTTGAGTGACAGCCTGCCTGGCAATGAACTCCATGAAGAGAACCTACTTCATCACATTTCTTTATCCCCAGCACCTGGTCAAGAGCCAATGAGTAGTTTTGTGGCTGGTTGATGGTCCTTAGTCATGCCATATTTCTACTGTGTATTTCACAGCCTCTAGATCCAAGAGAATCCAAGAACTGCCCCCTGGCACTGCTCCTACAGAGCTGAGTGATCCAGGGGTAGAAGGAGTTTGCTTGCACTTTGACTCACATCAGTTTGTTGGAAGAACTGAAGGTGTTCAGGTGGCAGCTTCCCTGGACACAGAGGGCCCCTGACATGAGGAAGGGTGTCATCTTCCCTGTCCCAAACTAGCCACCTGCAGGGGAGACCCAAGTCTAGTCTGGCATTTTACTTCTCACTCACTCACTTCCCATGCTACTGGCTACATTGTATAGTAACCTGGTAATTGGTTAGAAATAGAATGGTCTGCTCCCATTCCAGTGTGAGAATCTGTTTTGCAAGATCCTGAGTGATTTGTGTAGGCGTTCAAATGAGAGGCACTTCCCTGCAAAACATCCCTCTCAGAAGATGTTAAGACAGAAGTTGCCCATTTGTGCCTAAAGGTGGTGTAGAACTTATGAACATTTAGTTGTTTACCATGGATCATAAGGTGTCAGGCAAAGCTATCTTGTAATAAGCCCCTCACGTATTCATTCTGATCTTGGTTTTGTGTCACTGAGTTACTGTCTCTTTTATCTTTATCAGTCACATATTAAGGCTACTGATGGCAGACATTCAGAATCACCTCCCTGCCTTTGTGTCATCAGTCTCCTAACTTTGCACATCCCACTCCAAAGTAGATGTTGAATGTGCTTGTCGCAAGCAGCTTTTGGTTCTGTTCTAATTCCTGGGGTGGAAGAGGAGGAGACTCTGTCACTCAAGGCAGTAGGATGCTGTGAGCACCTGCCTTTAGTCACTTTCCATTCCCAAGTGACTGTGGGATGTGAGAAGAAAGGGTCACTTGTCAGGTAATAAATAATGCATTGAGACAGCTCCATTGGCTTGCTAAAAAGCATCACCATGGCTCCATTTGTCAACTCTGGAGTGTGACTGCTCAGGAATGAAGGGGAGAATTTCCATCTGAGTCACCCTTGGTGTGTAAGTGTGTACATGCATGAGAGAGATGGTGGGGGGAGGGCTGGTGTGTGCATGAGTGTGTGTTGTGCACTCATGCTGCAGCCAGGCACTGGTGCGGTCAGGAAGAAGGCAGTGCTAGCTAGTATGAACTTATCATTGTGGTTACCTGTTGGAAAAGTCCCTTCCCCCGGTTTTTCTCTGCTCTCAAGCGAGCTGTCTGTGATGAGTTCTCACATATGGGGTACAGGATCTATTGTCATGGAGTGACTGTGTGGGATGAAACTGGCTGGGAAAATTTGTTGTTTTTTTCTTTTTTGTCCCTTCATATTTTCTGAATGTTCATGTTTAGCTAGACTAAGGAAGCCTGAGCAGGGAACCCTAGCTAGTCCTTTCAAATTCTCAAATGGCAGAAAGTGTGAAAGACCTTCGCAGGGCCCAGCTTAGTGGTGAGCATTTCTGTGAGATCTAAATGTGTGCCATTAGCTTGCATGCTGGAGCAGTTGGCAGAAGCTCAACCGGCACAACAGGTCGGTCTGCAGGCAGCTTTGGGGCCAGGGATGGAAGCATACCTCATCCCTCTGTGGGGACCCCAGCATGCTGGTGAGAGCCAGCTCTCTCTATGAAGCAGAGATGCTTTCTGCCCTGCAGAGTGCTCCACTGCTTGATGATCTTGACAGGAAGCCCTTCCTGGCTAGGCCCCAGAGCAGTCTATGTGAGGAAGTCAGCCTCCCCTCTCTGTCAGGCTGGGTACCCTTGTCACTTTCCAGTTACCACACAGCATTCAGAGGGTGTAAATGTACTTACTTTCCTGGAAATGGAAGTCTTTCCCTTCTTTCAGAAGTCCACAGTCCACATTTCATTAAGGATTTAGAACTAGTAGGTAAGAAATACTACCAGTTCCCCAAAAGAGCCCTAGATAATCCCTGCTTCTCTTTCTCAGGATGTGACAGTGGCCTGTACTAGAGTTTCAGCTCCAGGACTAATGCCAGGTCAGGTTACTGATTTGTAAGGCATGAGCTGCAGTCCCTTTTTCCATAGAGTGCTGCTAGCTCCCCTCAAGCTGCTGGCCTCCTCCTCACGTAGCAGACACCTGCCTTCTGGAGCTGCCTAATCTGGTCTGTTCCCCATCCTACAGTCTTACAGCAACAAATTCATGAAGGGAGAAAGTTGGTTTTGTTGGTTTATCCTCCCCTACCAGGTATAGCTCTGAGCCCCCAGTGACACTTGCAGCTCAAGGAAGGGGGCGAGAAGCCTCAGATGATGTCTCTCTGGGGAAGATGGACAAAGAGAGGGTTCCAAAAAGGTGGATAGGGAGTGGAGTGGCACAGATCTGTACTCTGCACATCCCTGAAGGACCCTGGATTGCCCATGTCCTGTGTTTCATTCACTGAGACAGGAGACCAGCAGTCCTCACCCAGTTAGGAGCATCCCCTCAGGAGTGTGCATCAACCAAGCACCTTCCTCATCATTCCTGTCTCCCTTCCCATGAGGTCCAAAGAGAAGGCAAGACTTGCCCAAGGGCCCACAGCCGGTCAGCAGCAGAACCAAACATGGAACCTTCCAGGTCTACTCCAAAGCACACACTCATCCAGATGACACCAGACTGCCCCATGCCTTCCAAGATACTGCATGAAGTATGGTTTGGGCCTGTAACTCCACAGTCCCTAGGGAGCAGTTTGGGGTTTTCCTCTCCCTATTCCTCTCCCTATTCCCTTTGTCCTTCTGGGCAAACTGAGGCAGAGGAATCAAGCAACTAAAGACTTTGCAACAGAGCCAGTCTGGCTATCCAACATAAGAGATAATCAGAGGTTCCTTTGCATATAGCGAACAGAGGTGAGATCTACTTCTGTAGGAATCTAGACTTGGGCCTAAGAAGAAATAACCACAGTGCTTGGCTGTAGATGTAGACGGCAGGGGAGTGTCCAAAGGGTACCTACCCTACAGGCCCTTTTGAGAAAGAGTACCTCATTTGTGACTCAGCATCTGGAAATTTGTCTGCCTTGAAGGTACTTTTAAGACAGTGCCCTGGGCTCCAACAGCCAGCAAGCGACAGAGATGCAAGACAGACATATGACTCAGGCATATGACGTATTTTGCTCAGCAGTTATTTTTGGTTCTTAACTGTCTCCCTCACTAGCTCGTTGATGGATTTCTCTGCCCTAGAAAGTTTAGGCCAGTGTGTTTCTCATATCTTGTCCAGTGGGGCAGGAGTCAGACAATCCCATGTGCAAATGCCAGCTCCTCCATCACTAGCTTCAGGACCCCTTAAGTTCCCTGAGCCTCAGTTTTCCTACCTAGTAGAGTGGGGACAGTCACAACAACACTTGGCACATTGGGCCTCTGTTATGATCCAGGAAAATGACATTGTGAGCCCTAAAGAGGCAGCAGGAATATGAGAATTGTTGCTGGAAACAATTAAAAGCTCACTAAATTAAAGTTTAACTTAATATAAAAATAGGACTGCAAAAAGAGGCACTTAGCAGCCACAGAGGCCCCATTTACAAAGCTTGCTCCCATTATGCCTAGCAATGAGAAGCAGAGACAGCCTAAAAAACACATCTACTATGGGTTCCAAGCATCTTACCCAAGCCAGTGGTCCCAAGTAAGATGGGGGTCTCCTCTGCCCCCTCTGCATTCTAGGAATGACATGTTTCTGATTGTTTAGTTTACCTACAACAGGGGTCTCAAACTTGAACTCCAGTCAGAGCCACCGGCTGTCAGTGTTAAGCTAATTGCTTAGTCTCACCCCCAGAGCTGCTGGTGCTGTAGGTCCAGAGGAAGCTGTGTGAATTTGAATTCCTCATAAGTTCACAGCTGATGCTTCTGCTGTGGACCTGGGGACCAAGTATATACCACGTATCAGGTGCAAGCAGGGGAGTCGGGGGGGGGGGGAGGAGGTGCAAGTTTGGCTCAGGTAGTTTCATGACTGGTCCCTTTCCTGCCCTTCTCCTGGATTGGGCTGGCCCCTGCCACACCCCATACATGTTTTATTCTGGAGCAACCAGGTACAAACTTGTCACTTGTCACTGCTGCAACAGTGTACGTCAGAGCCTTGTCAAGTAAGGATGAAAAGCCAGAGAGAGGGAAAGTAATGTCCCAGGTATG